GCCCTTAACCTGGAGGTGTGGTGCGGTGGGTATAACTATGTATAATCACGATAGCCTAATACACTTTATTCAACAGATTGTAACAAGGCTGGTTAGAGGCTTCTGCTCTCAGCTGGCATCTGTTTAAGAAGGCTTCCATACCGTTGCGCAATTGTGACTTGTCGTGCCACGTCTCATAGCTGACTTCGCCCGACGTTGTGGACATGACACCTCCATTCGTACTAAGCTCGACCATGCGCTTGAATGTCGTTGCCCATCACTTCGCAGATCCTTGCTGGCACATACACATAAGCAATTTCAACGGAATAATTGCTAAGAAAGGTTTGTTAGATGAAATGAGGTGAAGGCGAACGATGGTGCTGTCAAGGAGCTAATGTCGGAACTATAACTTTACATATAGTCGGCATGGAGTCATGATGCAATAGTTGGTGCCAGCTGAAACCATATGGAATAAATGGAAGAAATGGATATTGACCGGATGAGTTAGAACTACGGTCTACTCACTCCTTCAAAAGAACAGCTCGTTCTCGAGCATAAAGCATATCATATAGTACAAGAGCACATCATATAGAATATCCTTGTAGTAGAGGCAAGTAAAGCAGCAGCGTATGAGATAAACACCATAATGACATTGGAGGGCGAGCGTTTCTATGGATCAGAGTCACATAATACCATAGTGTCATTATCAGCATCGTATTGTAATTAAATACTACTAAACTGTCCTGAACTGGTTTAATCCTGGCAACGAGGCGAACGCCGTGCGTTCTCCAAGAGTTCCATGGAAAATAAAAAAAACAACTTTGAAATCAAGTCGTAACGAATCCGAACGTAGTGCGAGATACTTGAGATACTTATTAATCTTGTAGTTTGATGAGATGTGGAATCGTGTTGTGAGCTAAAAGCAATATGATGAGCTATTTGTCCTAGCATATCTGTAGAGCTTACATGTGTAGAGTTCTCATTATTACTAAAAGTGAAATATTTTTTTCTACTTATTAGCGCGTTCAAAGACTTATGGTGGCTTCCTCCACTGCGCGATACTGGAATGTCTAAATGAAGATTTTGGTCATCTACCGATCGCTTTTGCATCTTATGTATTGATCTGCACAGTAAGGTCAAGCCAAATTGTGGTTCAGGACTGTTCGGTTTGTCTGTAGTAAGTTTGTAATCATCCTTCTTGAGATAAATTTCTGGAGCTGATTGTTTGCTGCAAAATGTCAGTAATACCATGTTGTCTTCGCACCGGCTGAGTAACAGTGCCACTAGTTGCAATGCATAATTAAAATTTGAATTTGAATCAAAATGCTCACCTGCGACGGCTGTAATCCTTTATTTCCGGTAGAACAATGAATACGCCAATTCCATTGGGATCGTAGAATTAAGTAGGCACCAGGTATTAAACGAAAATGTTACATTTTTGTAAGTAAAAGCTAATTGTATGTTATTCAGTACTATATGGGTGGAAGGTACAGAAGCCACTCCTTCAGCACCTTATACATAACGACGTATTGGAGTTGGAGGAGATGGTGCCTAAATAACTGTGCCATGTGTAAGGTTTGATTTTCCGTAATGCTACGATGTGCCACGTTCCTAAATTGACCTGTCAGATAATTTCCATCAAAATTGTAGTGACTATACACTTTTCTTGAAAACCATGGGCACGAATAGTAAAATTTGCTTTTTGATCCGTATACGTTTGTAGAAGGCTGTGCTGCCCTAAAGAAAGTCTGACGGCTTTTTAGGTTGCGCTAGCGATTCACAAAGTGGAGAACTTTTAGAAGTCACAAAGTCCTCATCGCTTCAGCAGAGAAAGAAACATGTAAGCATGAGGTGCGCAATTTTTCCTAGTCTTATTAAAGCAATGGGGCTGGTGACAACAACGATTCTGTCCGTTCAACAAAAAGATCGAACCCTGAAATACTGACGAATTTGGAGGGCTTGTGCATTTAAGATGATCAGGAAAAGCGAAAGGCCAGCCTGATTCTCCTGCTGCACAGTGTCGAAATTCGAGAGAAAATGCAGAAGAAGTGGCGAGCATCGGCGTGCTTACCAAGACAATGACAAATAAAAAGTCATTGTTTGTGGAATGGTTTTTGGACTACCTGTGATTATTGAGTTAACTGGAAAAGGGCGCGAAGAATTTGATTTGAAGTAATGAGGATTGTTGACGACGAAATGGAGACTAGTACGGTTATCAGATTAAAAGGTTCATGAGGCCTATAATCCGAAGGGTGTGTAGCGGTAGGGTATGTAAGTACATAGAGTAGCCATACACATATTTATTCATTACATATTAAGATACGGGAAAAGGGGAAGAAGGGTTAGACGAAGGAGTCCAAGACTGGACTCGACGGCAAGCGAAAATAAGAAATCAAGTCCGAGTAAATTAATAGTTTGGTCGGCGACTCCGGCCACGGCTAAGTCCACGCATGGTGCGATTTCTCTCCATCCAAGATTTCACATATTCCTAAATTGCGTACTTTACTTTTCGCATATTGACCTATAACTTCCAAACACTTACATCGTGCGCATGCAATGCCCGCTGGAAATTCATGCGTAGGTCTCTTTCCTTCATGGCTGCCTTACGTAGAAACAGATTTTGAATACGATCCGCTTCTTTAGCAGCGGCGATTGCTCGTTCGCGCTCATAACGAACAAGCGAAAGAAGATTGACTTTCCAAAAGGTTTCGGTATGGCAAACCCGGCAACTCTAAAAACCAAAGGAATGAAATTTGTCACTCCTCTCTTATCAATAACGAAACTCACATTGACGGGTACCACCGCAAGAGTTTCCTCATCTTCCTTCGGTGTCTTCAAGAACATAACGTACCGACCGCTCTTCCATTGGATACGAGTCAAAATGCTTACTCAGATCTGGGCGCGCCTGCATTGTTATCTCTAAAAAGCCATCGAATCAGTCTACCACTTCATTTCATTTGAAACTTAACAGATAAATGTCATAAGAATGGTGAACAAAGAGGGCAAGAGATAACAATTAGGAGACGGTGGTCACTGCGAACAGCAGAGCAGCTAATGCCCTATATTTGTAACAATACCCCGTATTTACCTCACGCCTCCGAACAACCGGTGCATAACGACGGCTGCGCGACCATAAATTCCAAATCCGACACCTCCAGCTTCCACGATGCGGCGTCACAAAGATAATATAGATGAGTACGCCCTGCGTCCAATCTAAAAGGAAAAGATCTTCTCTATGCTTAAAGTTGTTGAATTGCAATGGAACAAAAGACAATCATTCCCACTCGTGGTGTAATAAAGCATACCTAACCAAGGATAGCGCTTACAAAATCGCTAAATATAGATAAAATAATGTTTGTTTTCATTTATGATCTCTGATTTATACTCTGATTCTTTCCCTAGCCATGTCTAGGGATTGATCCGCTATAAAATTCCCTTTACTCCAGTAATTGCTACTCGCCAGCTCGCTTTTTCATCATCTGACAAGTTTTCATGTCGTGCTTGCGCTTCGCTTATTCCCAATATGCGGCTTATTCTATAAAGTTTACCTGAAAAATTTAGGAAGTCAGAACTCATTTTTGTTCTAGAAAATAAAGGAAGCCCAGAAAGCTACGCATAGCCGACCAAATGCAGATTCTAGGTTATTAGGCGCTAGGTGAATTACAGTCTGATTATTCACCATTCAGTATTTAGGGGTGCAGTATGGATTTGATTTAGCTTTATAGAACAGTAATCGCACACTTGCGCAGTTGCAGTTTCTCCGTAAAATTTTGGAAAATGATAACAAATGGGAATTGTAGTAGTTGCGGCTCTGCGAATTTGATTCGCTTATTAGTTGTGGGTTAGGGTACGAGGTATATCACTTGTTGGACAAGAGGAATAAGGGACGATTATTGTTACTTGTAGCGGTAAAGATTGTTCGCGGCTAGATCGAGGTTCGTAGATAGAAGTATTGGGTTGGTGCATAATATCGTAGCGTTTTTTTTTGGGCGTATAAATTCAATCAGTACAAGAGAAACCCTAAAAATCGCCTATACCTTTTGAAAGTGCTTTTTTCGCTCTACAAAAATTACTTCGTCATTTCCCTCAAAATTATATTTGTACTCATACATAATGCTTAGAAGTTGGAAAATCCAGACGGCAGAAATCGGCATTTCGACAGCTGTTATTTTTCAGTTCACATAAAGAAAAAATACCGTCAAAACAAAAGTTCTTCAGAATCCATTGTTCTTATCGAACCTCTCTCTAACCAACCCTACATATTTCACTCAAATTAAGACCGTATTCATGTCGTACAAATTGCGAAATAATGAGGACTTCGAGAGCGAGCCCAACATCTTTTTTTCAATTCCAAATCCAGTGACTTTCTGCAAAATAGGATAAAAGTCGTAAATAATGGCAAAGTGGACATCCCTGATTAGTTTTATGTTTTTAATTTCTTCACAAAACGTTTGCGTGCAAAAATGAAAAATGCAAGCGCTACGATATTATGCACCAACCCAATAGAATTGGATGGTTGAGGGGTTGTGACGAAGTTGGTTTTGAGTTTGTTCATTCGGAACTTGAAAAGACGAACTCTAGAGCGACGTTTAATTGAGTATCTTCCTTTTGCGAATCTATTAGGAGGTCGTCCTCTCGTATGTTAGTAATCAGAATCGGAACTACTCATAAGAGGGATAAAAGCACGGATCTATAGAACATAAAACAAGAGCAAAAAAATCGCAAGAGCGACCGACTGCCCCCTGTCTATGGGCGTTTCCAAGGGGAGGAGCCTGTCTTGGCAATCGCACAGAATTGCTCCCACATAGTATGGCAACGGGTTGGCATGTCTTGGCAGGCAGCTGGTAAGGCGCCAGGACGCGATCGGCTGAAGGGGTCACCGAAACTAACTAGATGAGGTCATAAAGCATGATCGATTGGGTCGAAGCAAAGCAGCAGTATTGCATAACGAAATCGTTAGTCATATTACGTATTACAATCCCCTTATTCGAGATATGTTCCATGAAGGGTTATCAATCGTTGACCTGAGCCACTTTATGGCGTCGGTCATCGCCTTGGAAAACTGGCAAGTATACCGGTACGTCGATGACCCTCATAAATCGGTACTTGATGTAATGCTGCCGAATGCCATTTTAGATTTGCCTTATGTTCTAGTAATTTTAGCAACCCCTTAGAAGAGGGAATCTTCCAGTCCACGGGACACACTCACACACTTTTGGCGAGAGGCCACTTCTGGTAAGAGTTATCCTGAAAATGGTAAACTCAAATATCTAGGAAAATTTTCCACGTTGATTTCGAAGGAAACGTCCTTTTTCACAATGAGAGAGAAGTGAAGCATTTGTCAGAAAGCGTATGTCGAAGCAAGTTCATATGTTCTTCCCTTCCTAATTTACCCTTTT